TCTCCGACTCAGCGGAAACTACTCGTATCGCAAACATGAACCTCTTTTTATCTATAATTGCATAAGCTTAGATTCAGATCTCTATAATAATTACCATAATCGAGAACGTTCGTTCGTTTAGAAAAACTGCTGAAGATCTTCAAAGTTGAAGTTTCCAAATATTTGCATAAAATTAAGACAACGGCGAATATAATTACACCGGATACGCGGCGATGGCGCATAGTCGCAATAAACTTAATTGCGAGTCAATTCAAGTACCATAGCCGTCGACTTATTGTCCGTGCATCACGGACATTTCGTTAATTACTTCCTACACGGCGATTACGCGAGGACGAACGACGGATGCGTGTTCGTCGATCTCACTTTCGATCTCACAATTTTTCACTCTCAGCGCAATCCTTGGAAAAAAAGGGAAAAGAAGTGGCGACGAAATTTCGATGAGAAGGATGATTTCGGTTTCGGTTCATCGCATCGCGAATAGATAAGTGCTCGGCGACCAGGTCGATAGACGCAGGAAATGCCTGTGAAAGATGATGGACGCCGATTACCTCATCAAGATCATCAGAGGTATAATAATGTACCACACTTACAAAAAGAAGTGTCGCGCGCGCCATCAAGCACTCCAACGTCAATGATTACAGTCTCCTGCTCTCCTCTCTTTCTCTCTCTGTCTTCTAGCCTTTCAGCTTTGCGGCCTTTTCTGATTGCGGCGTGTTGAAAGAGCGTTGAAAGAGCGGTGTCCGCTCGCGTCTAATCTAAAGCCGCGAGAAAGCCTCCTCCGTTCAATTCGAACTCACGAGATATCCGTTCGCGTAAACGCCAAAGTCACGAAACCGTTTCTGTCTGATTCGAGTCCATGTGAAGCTACTTCATCGTATATCTCGCGGGGAAGATTCTGCATTAACGGAGGTTTGGCGCACGTTCGACGTTCGTGATTGCGCAGCTGCCAGGGAAGACGGTCGCCGGTTGCCGATCTCGAGTCGCCGTCGCGGCGCAGGTAATTTGCAGATTGACAGATTAAGCCGGCTAATTAGGGGTCGGGAAGGAGCGCCATGGAAGGGAGACGCGAAATTACGCAAACGCGCGCGGTTGCTCCTTGAGAAATGTAGAAATTATGTATATAGCGGCGACGGAGTATGGCCTGCACGCGAGCGACGCGCGTTTCCCTTGCTTTGACCTCTTAATCGCCGGAATCCCTTTCCGAGCTGCGCTCTTCATGAATCAATCTCCTTATTAACTCTTTAACTATATATACCATATCTAGCGAGAATTGAAACATTAATAATTTTCATATAATAAATTTATGCGTAAATGCAATGCTTTCTTTATCTTGATTGTTAATAATTTAAAATACTCTTGTGTATCGCAACGGAAGGTTTGAAACAAATTAAGTAAAAGAACTTACACATTAATGTAAGACTTATTTTTATGTTTTCTTTTTCTCTTGGTTTTTATGATTTTTCTTTTAGAAGATTAAATTTAACGAATGCAAAGAAGACTTCTATACAATTTTTTTACTTGAACGCTGATGCTGAGCGGATTCTTTGATAGCGAAACGGAGAACCTTTATTCACCGTTGTTCATTATTTTAAAAATTTGCATTCGCCTCGCCGACTAATTGAACGAATGGATACAAGCGCGGACGGCGAACAATAGCATTATCGCGCTCCACTTTCAAAACTATCTCTGTCGCCGTCGCTACTTCGTCGCGACTCGGTACCAAGTCCTACGCGTATTGCGAAAGAAATGCGGTTAGCTACGAGTCTCGAGAAAAGTCGCATAAACGCGAGGCTAATAATCATCAAGTCCAACCAACTGCGTATATTGGCCGCACATGATCGCACTGCGAGATTTCGTCAAACTCGATTATCGGCGCCTAGCGGCGCCTAGTTTATCACGTAATTTCTTTGGACTACTAAATAGAATTTAAAGATAAATCAGTAAAGAAACGAAAGGAAGTTCACTTAACATTTACGTGATCGATTAGCGGGAAAAAATATTCGCGGATTCGATACTCGCGATACAAGTTTATTCGACGAAGAAACCCGTGTTTTGATCAATCGATCGAAATGTTAGGTTGGAGTAATCCGTGGTGATCGACAGGCTCATCGAGTTCCTGTCGAAGGATCGTCTCTTCGCCGCGAGACGAAGTTTCTTCGGTCGAGGGTTGTGAAACTTCTGCGACAGAGAGTGAGAGAGATTTGTGTACTCACGTCTTTTTCTCTCCTTCGTAAGCGTGAAATTCTTGCCAGACGGGTCGGCGTCGGGCACGGCGATGATCTCTCCTCTTCTCGGTTTCTCTTGCTTCTGTCTCTCGCGGATCGGCTCTCACCGGTTCGCGCGAACTATCGATCGGGCGCGATCGATCGGAGAACGAAAGAACGCGGGGGAGATTCCTGTGTCCCTCGGTTTCTCTATTTCTTCCCTCTCTTTTTTTCGCGCGCGTGCGATTACGCTCTTTTGCGAAGGACCGTTGGCGTTCGGGATGAAGGTTGAGTCGTGTGTCGAGATGGAATCGCTGGGGCCCCGCTTATATACCCATTTACCCACCAATGCTGACGGCCAGGATCATGCAAGGGGGCCCCGACCCTCCTCGCCGATCGAGCCACCGGGAGGGGCCCCTCCTTTAGTCTTCTCTTCGCCGCCCTTCTTGGACTCTATCTTATCTCCCTCCTTGTTCTCCGCCTCCTCTCTCTTTCTTTTCCTCCTACATCACTTCTTGCGTTCCTTATCCTCCTCCCTCGCTCTCTCTTTTTCTCTCTCGCTCGTTTCTGCTTGATCTTGGTTTGCTTGCCGATTCCTCGGCTCTTTTCTGTTCCGGACTACGACATCTACGCCCGGTTCAGTCGAGATCCATCTTCGGGAACAGACTTGTAATGTGGCTCGTGTAGCTGACCCAATCATCACACCTTGAACGAGTTTAATCCTTTAACTGCAAACTTGTACAATACATCTGGCTAAGAATAGAAATTTGTTAGATACCCGATTAAGATTTTTTATCATTATTTCAGAGCCATTGCGTGCAACGCCGAGTTATATAAAACTAATTAATTTTTGCGGCATTCACGGTTAAAACTCTTTCTTGTATCAAACGAACGAATAAAAAGAATTATTGAAGAATCGGAGAAATCGAAAATTCAATTTCTAGAGAGAGATCCGCAAGTGCCATTTTCTAGTTACAACTGAAATTGTCAATTAGATACCTGTTATGGAACTCTTAACAATACTTAGAACGATTATCATACCTTGAATCATTATTGAATGCAACCAAGAACCTTGGAATATTTACTAGCCACGGGGTTTCTTATCAGTTCCTTATGCGCAACGATTCAATGATTAGAATATATCTGGAAAATTATTACATTTTCTATACATGTGATTGTCCTTCCTTACCACTGATCTCTACGGACGCACCTACAAACCGGCATGACGTGTCACGTTTGTGTTTTAAAGGCATTCATTTGGGATCATTCAATATATCGAGCGGAAGTGTAATGGTACAGACTATGGAGTAACCTTGAATACATTTAAAAGGGTCAATCGACATTTATCTTTCCATTTGTAGTGAACATTCAACTAAGAAAAATGCAAATGAGATTTTTTTATAAGCTTTCCATGTAAGTTATATTCTTTTCTTGATATTTCTGCTGTTTTTCTACGTATGAATATATTGCTTACTCTAGACTTTCTCAATAAATTTAGAAGAGATGTATCAAGTACAATTATTGTTGCGATTTTTAAATGCGTTACTGGTGACATGACTTTTCCTTGCCACCTTCATGAATTTGTGTCGTTAATTAATATACATGTCTTTAACATACGTGTCTTCCTTTCATTCGCGAAAAAGTCACTTCTCTCAATGAACGTAAACGAATCTCGCACGTGTTTGAAATGCTTGAAATGCTTGAAATGATTGAAAATGTGTGAATGATATTTTTTTTGTTCTTAATCTTTAAGAAGATGAAAGATTCTTTTTATTTCTCATCGAAGATATCGTAAAAATTAAAGCTTTTAGATAAAACATTTTTTGACTTAAAATAATTGTCACATAGATATTTATAAAAGAAATGAAATAAAAATTTCTGGTAGGTGCATCGAATTTTCTAATCAAGGATCAATTTATTCGACAAGATATTGTTGAAGACAAATAAATGTAACATTTTATGTCCTCATAGCTAGCTGTTCGTAAAGTAAGAATTTTTGTTATTTTTCATCACGAATTCATTAGGATTTGCATCACGCCGGAATGCTCATGCATCATTTTACGCGTCGCGAATATGTTGCGAACTCGATAAACCGTGCGCCATCAGGTAAATTGTTTTATCTTCGTCGCTGTGACTCATCGAGGAACGCTCGATGAGTCGTACATGCGTGTGATACACACGCCAGTGCGTATGTGTATATGGGCACTATTATGTAAACCATCATATTACATATAGTTCCGTCTTGTATATTCATCGTTACAGCAATTTCCCATTGAAAATTTACTCACTCTTCCGCCGAAACATCGATCCATCGATAATTTACGTATTATTGATCGAATGCTCTGGATCTAATTCAACTTTTATCACAGATTATCATTATCAACATTGAAATATTCATATTATTTTCCGATAAAGTTGAATAATTTTTAATAATAATTATTTATATAACTTAATTAATTTTTATTAAATTATATAATTTATATGATTTAATTTGTAATTTTGTGGATAACATTAAAAAAGATAAGTACGCTGCATTAAATAAATACAGAAGAATAATGTATCATCATGAAATAATGGAATACAATTGATGTTGCATAAAGATCTTGCATTTAAGAAATACATTGAAAATAATTATTTTTTATGGATATATATTCAGTGCTAAATTTATTCTTTTCATTCAAGCCTTCTCAAGTTTGCGAAGATGATTTATTAATATCTTTGTCAATACGATTCTTACTATGACATAGTATAATTGTCATTTTTAAATTATTCTTGAAACTACACACTGAGTTTGTGCTCAATCTTTGTTCAATTTTGCTAAATTTACCAGAGATTATGCGATTGGGATACTTTGCAGGTGATTTACATTATCATCATGACTACCGCAGTCATTTAAATCACTCTTTGCATGTTTATGCCTAAAATCTTTATGATAATAGAATTCACGGTATTTCCGTTATTTTTATTTATTGTTGTTGTAACTTATTTACATAATATTCGATTTTGATCAAGCTAATGTTGTTAGCAACTTTCCTTTATCTCTTTACTAAAAATATTTCTATATGGAATATACCAAACTGGAAGATCCGTTATTCACACGCTGATTTTCGCGGTCGATACGTTCGTGAATAATTAACATGTGATTAAAATCGTGAATTATTCACGCTATTAATCTTGATGTTGTGTTGTAGCTTATCCACGTCGAGATCGATGACCTTACCGCGCCTATCCTATCTTGATTTCTGTAGCATCGTAATACTTTGATATTTTTTAAATTATTTTTTTTTATACTTTATAAATTGTAAACTTGCTTTTGTAAGAAATAGTGACTTTTATTTTTTATTATTTTTTATTTAAATCATGTGGCTTAAGTTCTTCAAAAATAGGTTGATATTTCTCATTTATGATAATATTTTTATCAATTTTTTTGGAGATTGTAAATTTTATTATTATTTTCATTATTAATTTTACTATTAATTTCATTATTAGTTTTGTCTCTAGCTATTATCATCGACCGAAAATAAAAATTCAGTTCACGAGTTTGAACATGTAAAGCATTCTTTAGTATTATCAACGCTCTTCTTGATGTAGCATCATGTTCTCTTCCTGGATTCTTGCAGTTGTTGCTTAGACGATGGCTACTTTACAACCAGCGATTTTCAACCGTTATATACCGTTAGAATAATGCGCGTTTATTAAGTTTTTGTTTGCAAAAAAAGTAGCTTCTTCATACGTTTATATATAAACGCTTCTGCACATTTCAATATGCTTAAAAGAGCTTTAATATGCTGTTCCTTTTTAACTTTTAAATATATAAGCTTGTAATTAACTTTTAAATAAATAAGCTTGTAATTAAGCTTCTTGATTAAAATATTTGCGAAGAAAAGGTTAATTCTGTATGCAAATTTGATATGTTTATATGAGCATTTTGGAATTACAGCACATGGAATTACATTCTGGAATTACATTATCTCGCTTATTTTTACGCTTATTTTAAAATAGCATATAAAATAAACACAAAAGGAAATAAGACATTTCTTCGAAATACGCTAATGTTATTCAATAGCAGCATTGCATAAAAGAAGATCGCGATAGAAGAAATATTGCTGGCAGTATGATTCGTTATGATTCGTTTCTGTGGTATAATTACTACAATGCTGATGATTACAGTCGTAATCGTGGTTCTTCTAGAAAAAGTGAGATGTTTTTACATTAGTTTTTATGGCGTTCTAGGCGCCGTTCTTTTGCCTTGTCTCTTTAACAGCACTAATTGTAAATGACGTCCGCTCTCGTAGTCACGTAGACTCACAAATTTTGTGTATTAATTCCGGAAAGTGTTTTTTACGCAAGCATGTGAAGGTCGGCACATTGGCAACGATGACAACGATGATTCTCGTAAGACGCAAGGAAAACGAATATTCTATTTAAATTATTGAATTAGGACAAGGATATCAGGTATATCCTAGAAGAAGAAATAGTAGTTAGAAAATTCTACAAGATTATCAAAACTCCCATGCGAATGATTGAAGCCTTTGAGTCATATAATTTCGCATAATTATTTCTAGACTTACAATAAACTTACATAAAAAATGAATATACTGAATATGAATGTACTGAATATATAAAATCATTGATTGCGATTACATTAAATTATAAATATTAATAATAATATATTTCTTCTTCTTATATTTTTTTCCGAAAATTAAAATAAAATTAAAATATTAAATATTATATTATAACATTTTATATTTTATAATATTCAGAAAGAAATATAAGAAGAGAACATTGAGAAAATACGTAGAAGGATAATATCAAACGTAATTGTAGGCTATTTATATATTTAAATTAATAATCTCTTTTTATATTTAAATTAATAAGCAAAAGTTTCAATGGGACAAGGAAAATTTCGCGTTCTCTTCTTCTTGATTTTCCGCGCAAAAATTCTAGTTGTCATAATTCTGGGTATTGGTACGAACATCTAAAACTCGGAATACGCGAAATTTCTGTTAAATCAATTTGCCACACCATTTTATCCTTTCGTCCCGTTTATTCCCGGTGCACAATGCCGATTGGTGCAAACGCGATTTTTCACACTCCAGCGTGTGCATCGAGGACACTGACGGTGCGCGCATAAAGTCGGAATTTTATTGCCTTATATTGCGAGAGCCGCGGCCTGCGATACTCCGCAGAAGCAACAATTTCGCGGATAAGCTGCATGCCACGAACTTGATTTTCATTAAACACAGCTGTTGCAGTCGCTCCACGCTGTTTTATATTCTACCATAATGTTTTTTTGCTTCAATGGAAAATTTGCCAGTGATTATAT